AAGAATCTCCCACATCCACCTTTGGCATCGTGGTTTTTGGGGAGTCTCCAGAGCCAGCCCTGGCTGGAGATGGTTTGTGGCACGTGTGGGCTCAGGGCAGGGATGGTTTGATAAAGTCAGACCCAGCAGGAGGCTGTTCCTGAGCTGCCCTAATCCTATTTCGGTGCTGGGGAGGCTCTGTGGGGATAACAACGGAGCTCCCGGGATATGGCACTGCAGGGATAACCACGGAGCTCCTGGGATATGGCACTGCAGGGATAACCACTGAGTTCCTGGGATATGGCACTGCAGGGATAACCATGGAGTTCCTGGGAACAGTGGCTCCTCAGCCCCCCCCTGCCCCTGCAGTGGCTCAGGGTTGGGGTTTTCTTCACAGAATCATGGAATGTCCTGAGCTGGAAGGGACCCACCAGGATCAAAGTCCAACTGCTGGCCCTGCACAGGACACCCCAAAATCCCCCCCTGTCCCTGAGGGCGTTGTCCAAACCCTCCTGGAGCTCTGGCAGCCTTGGGGCTGCCCTGGGGAGCCTGGTCAGTGCCCCACCACCTCTGGGGGAAGAACCTTCTCCAGAACCCAATATTTTGTCCCTGTAGTGCTGTGTCAGGAGCTCCCTGTGCCCCGTCCTCACCTTCTAGCCCAAGGCTAAACCTTTCCAATTATCCAGAATATCCTCACAGGAACCTCCAGGGAATGTGGGATCAGGGGCCATTCCAGGTGAGTTCAGCTGATCCTGAAAGATTTCCTTCCTTCTCTAGTAACCCCCAGGGAGGGATGCATTTCCCTGACCATGCATATTCCCAGAGTCCCCCTCACTTCTCCATGGGAATTACTGGGAATGGACTCATCAGACACATTGGGAAGGAGAAGGAATGATTCACACTGAGGTTCTTGGAGGGCTTTGTAGGACCTTCAGCCAACAACCCCGAGCAGCTCCAGGCTCTCTCCTGCCAGGTAAATAAATCAGCTTTTATTGCTTTCCACAAGGGAATTTTTGCTCCCCCTATTTCCTTCTATCTTAATCCAATGGAAATTCAAAGGGGAAATACCAGCAGGGCTTTTTTGTTTTCATTTGGTTTAAAGTCCTTTTAAAAGCTCCCTGTTCACAACCAGCCAGGTTGGGGAGGAAGGGGGACAGCAAGAGGCACTCACTGAGGCTTTCCTTGCAAAACCACCCGGATTCCCTGTTCCTGAAGATTCCCAGGGAGGCTCCCACAGGACTGGGCACCACCACCTCCCCCTGTGCACCGTGTCCTTCCTTTAGCAGGGGTATGGGGGAATCCCAGAACAGTTTGGGTGAGAAGGGACCCTAAAACTCATCTCATTCCACCCCCTGCCATGGGCAGGGACACCTTCCAGTGGACCAGGCTGCTCCAAGCCCCATCCAACCTGGCCTTGGACACGGATGCTGGTTTAGGCAGGATTTTGCTCCCAAAGTTCCAGGAGCAGCCACCTCCTCCTCCTCCTCCTCCTCCTCCATCCCCACAGCGCTGAGCCTTTGCCCGGGGCCGCGCTTGGGACCACGTGGAGAACAAAGGGCGGAGGGAGGGAAACACGCGGAAAAAGGGAGGGAAACACGCGGAAAAAAGGGCCGTGCGGGGTGACAGGACCCGGCTGCGGGCAGGGAGGACACCCGGTGACCTCCCTGCCAGGGCAGCGCACCCGGCCGGGGACGTGTCCTGCCGGAGCCCAGCGGGTCACGCAGCAGGAATGTCACCGAACCGGGCGCTCCCGCGCACAAAGGGAGGGTTGTTGCGCTCGCCTTGGGTTTGCCCATCCCAGAACTCATCCAGGGCAAGGCGGAGGAGCACCTGGGAGGGTGGGAGGGGTGGGAGGGATGGGAGGGACGGGGGGGGACAGCCAGGGACACCCTCGGCGGGGTGGCGGCCCCGGCAGCGCCGCTGGCTGTGCGTACCCTCTGCCGCACAGTTCTGGCACCATCTCCTGGACAAAAGCGTCCCAGGAATAACACCGGGAATGCAGCTGCAGGATGGGGGCGTGGAGGGGGGCAGGTGCTTCAGCCGAGCCCAAGTGATGCCCCCTGAGATGTGCGTTGTCCCCCTCCCCACCACAGAGTCATGGAATGGTTTGGGAGGGACCTTAAAGATCTCCCAGTGCCACCTCATTCCATGGGCAGGGACACCTTCCACTGGCCCAGGTTGCTCCAACCTGGCCTTGGACACTTCCAGGGATGGGGCACCCCGTGCCAGGGCCTCGCCACCCTCACCAGACCACGGCCTGACCCTGTAACTTCCCTCTGTCCTCCCCTCCCTCCACACTCATCCCATCCACCCGCTCCGAGGTCCCAGCCGGGCGTCCATATGGGGACACAACGGCCACCCCACCACGGTGCCCCACAATCCCGGGATCTCTGCTCCCTCTTGGCTTTCCCAGAGCCCAGGGGTGACCCCGGTGGCAGAGCTGCTCAGCACAAGCACTCCTTGCCCCGTGGGCTTTACGTCCAGTTGTGAACTGCTCGTCATGTGCCGGATGGTGCCAGGGAACGGCCGCTGCCGGGGGCTGCTCCTTCCCGGCTGGAATGCCAGACTGGGAGCAGATGTTTAACAGCCTCTTATCACCAGTAACCCCAGTAACACATTTACCAGCAGGCACAGCAACCCCAGCACTCCCACATCCAGCCCGGAACTCCAAAGCCTGGTTTCCATAGCTCCCGGAATCCGGCGTGGAGAGATGCCAGCAAAACATCCCTCCGGCTCGGGAGCTGGAGTCTTTTTAACCTGCCCCGCTTCCCCCTTTGCCAGAACCTTGTTCCACCTCAGACCTGGCCTGAATTACCTCAGGAACACGGAACAGCCCGGCCCCAGACGTGGGGAGCATGACAAGGAACGGGAAGAGGTGCTGAATCCAAATGTCCCGCTGGGTCTTTGTTTCTTCCCAGCACAAAGGCCTTTCTCTTCCCAGAGACCTGGGCCTGTATCCCAGTATCCCAATGTCCTGGCTGCTGGCTCCAAGGGCTGTGCTTTGCATGCAGAAAGGGGATGGTTGGCACCAGTTTTCCATTCCTGATGAGGTGCCTTTTCTCTTGGGATGAGGAAGGAAGCAGGGATGAGGAGGAAAGCAGGGATGGAGAAGGAAGCAGGGCTGAGGAAGGAAGCAGGCTGGTGCTTCCCACAGGCCACGGAGCAGCTCACACTGGGCTCTCCAGAGCAGTTTAAACACGCTGCTTCCACCACCCAAATCCCACAAACCCATCCAGCATCAGAGCCCTGTTTTCCAAGCGGGATCTTTCTTGGCTCTGGAGCATCAGTGGCAGGTGCCTTCCCTGCACAGGTCTTTAGGCTTGGCTTAAGGTACAACTCCAACTGCATCCAGCAGGAATTTATCCCCAGCAGCTTCCCTGCACTACCTGGTGGGAAATTTCAAGCCAGGTTTGTCTTGGAATCAGTGAATTGTGCCGAGAAAAACCTCCTTTGGCACAGCTGCTGGGACATTCCGAGCCCATCCTGCCAGAGCCAGATGCTCCACACAGCACATTCCCGCAGCCAGGGATTTTGTTGGATTAAAGAAAGCAGGTTTAGATGGGATATTAGGAAGAAATTCCTCCCTGGGAGGGGGGTGAGGGGCCGGAATGGATTCCCCAGAGAAGCTGGAAGGGTGGGGAAGACGGTTCCTGCATAAGCAAAATGCCGACGCGCCATCCCAAAAATCCAACAGGTACGGGAAGCAACGCCCATCCAAGGGGCAGCTCAGCCGGGGTTTTATCCCAGCATTCCCCAGGGGGCACATGGATGCTCCTCATGGCTCTGACACTTTATACCCTCCACACTAATGCACAGCTTCTGCACGGCTTTATCCCTCCCTGAACACTGGAATAAACCTGGAATTAAATCCCGGTTGGAGCCCATGAGGCCGAGGCCGCACAGCTGGAATGCTGAGCTCTCCCTGGAATCCCTCCTGGAGCCACTCAGTGTCTCTGCCTCCTGAAGAACCTGGTTTCTGCGAGGCCAAAGCAGCTCCCCAGAAGCACCAACGTGCAGAACTCTCCAGTCCCTGGGCCCTGTGGAGAAGGAGGAGCAGCAGAGCGGGAATAATCGGGAATAATCCTCCTCCAGCACAGATAAATCAGCTGAACTCCAACTGCTGAGGGGAGGAAGGAGCTCCAGCAGGATTCCCGTGTTCCAGACGTGCTGCCAGCGCAGGGAGCTGTCCCTCCACACCCACGGGGGGGTCTCTCCAAGCTTTTCCATGGAATGCAGGAACCCCAAGGGCAGGTTTTAGACCCAGCAGGTGACCACGACTTAAAACACACACAAACCCCCCCGGAGCTGGGATGTTCCCCACGTCCACCTTTGCTCAGTACTGCAGGAAGATCCACCTTTTTCCTTGTCTATTCCAGAAGTTTTCCCACCCTGATGCTCTCAGAGAAACCAATCCCTCACTGGGGTGTTTTAGGGATGCCCAGACAAGGTGGAACCCCGGAGGAACACGTGGATTGTGCTGGAAAACGGGAGCAAATCAGTTCCACACTGAGCTTTAGGGAATGAACTGAATAACCCAAACCTTAAAATCCCACCCCAAAACTCACAGGAGCAAATCAATTCCATGCTGAGCTTTAGGGAATGAACTGAACAACCAAAACCTTAAAATCCCACCCCAAAACTCACTCTGGAGGTGTGAGTGGCCTTGGAACTCATTCCTGATTCCAGTGGCAGGATCACACTGCTCCTGGGGACACTGATCCCTGTTCCAGAGGGAGTTGAGGCCACAATCCTGATGCTCCCCCATTCCCTGGGAAGCCCTGGAAAAGCCAATTTGTGCCCCCAGGCACCTCCACCCCCAATTCTGGGGTACAGAGCCCACCCTGGTCCACACAGCACCTCCAGCCTCCTCCTTCCTGCCAGGAATTCTGGCTCCACCCTCAGGAGCCAAAATGAAGGCATTCCCTCTAAAAAACACAAACACACCTTTACACAACAATCAATCCATCCCTGGTTTTTCCAGCCACCCCATGTCCCCCATGAGTCTTTCCAAAGCAACCCAATTATCTTGCAAATATCTTTATTACAATTTACAGATTAGTTCTGAATAGTTTATTATGTACAGAAATAGAACTTTAGATATAAAAACCCAACAAACTCGACACAAATCAAGTAAAATCTGTATAAAGCCAATGCTGAAGGTTTTCTAAGTTTTCTCTAAATTATACAAAAATAAAATCTGCTCATCACAGTTTTGATTTAAAGTCCTACAAGTGTTATTTTTACTGTCTCACCCCAAGCACTGACACATGGACACGGCCTGAACGACCAGTTTAAGGAATTTTCTAGGGAAGAAAGGGTGACACCGAGTTCTAAAAGATGTTTATGGTGATGAATTTAGTGTTGATTCCCTCTCACCTTACACTGGATCCTTGGAAAACGTGAGGTTGGAGCAGTGGAAAAGCTCACCTGAGCAGGTGGGAGTGCTGGACACACTTCAGGATGGGGAAAAGCCATTTTTCCAATGTTTAAGCACTTTGGGAGCAGCAGTTGTTGATCTAATTTACACATAATTTATCAATTCTGTTTGTTCCCAGGGACAGGTTTTTCCAAGCCTCTGCAAACGTTTGCAGGTGTTCGTTCCCACCACTCCAAAGCTTCTCACAAAGCACCAATAAAACGAGTCGCCCACGAAAAACTGAAGCACCAAGTTCTCCAAGATCAAAGAAATTGGGAAATTCATGGAAAAAACGACTGTAGTGTGACTTGCCAGGAGCAGCAGGTTTGTACTGATCAGCCACACTGACCATAAATCAACAAATCTCCTCTAATTCCACGTTTATCACCCCTTTTCCCTAAGCTAAAAAGCAGATCCAACATGAGACAGCAAAACGAGCTCCTAGAAATTCCCAGATAATTTCCCAGGATTTGAGGGCCTGATCAGAATTTACAATTTCACGGCTGAAAGTTTTTTGTAGGAAAAGAGAATCCAATTTTTTGAGGGGGGGAAGGAAAACAAGGTTGCTGCATTGCCTTCATGCAGCCCCTCTGGAATGCTGCAGGAATTGTTGGCTGGATTTGAAGCTCACACAGCTCTCCTGCAATTCAGTGAATCCTCTGAATTTTCTAAGTGCAACACAGCAAATCAATTTTATAAAAACTCACAAGTGCAAGGAGATTAAAGCACGAATCCAAAAAACTCTGAAATTTTTCAGTCAGAATTAAGACCTGGCCCAAATGACCCCCCAGTAAAGCAGAAAGTGAAACTTCTCCCTCCAGGGAGCTGCGATTTTTTCTTGCAAATTAAAAATTGAAACGATTCATCACAAATTTAAAGTACTTTTAAGGTTTCTCCCCTACAAAAGGGAAACGATTCTGCTCAGCTGAACAAACCAAGCAGCAACTCGGTTATTTTTTTCACCCAACTTTGTGCAAACAGACAGGAATTATTCCATTTTTGGGGTCTGGGTGACCTCACACCTGCTTGGCCAACAGGTCCAAACACCCCCCTCCAACAGTGCTGCTCTTTATTTTAACTGAACTAATTCAATATTTGAAGTTAGGAATGTAAATAAGGAGTGCTGTCCTTCCACCAAGGAGCTCAGCTTTCCAAAGGTGGAATGTTGTTTGTCCCAGGTGACCCAGTGCAGACACACAGAGTGTTAATACTGGCTTTTGGCAAAGAACACGGTGATTTGCTGCCTTCAGATTTCCTCAAATCAGAGATAATTCTCCTTAAAAGTACCAGAACAAGCAGACTGGATACAAGAATCCACCACAATCTCTATTTTAAAGCAGAATTATAGCAAAGTTATTCTTAGATTAAATAAATAATTAGGGACTAGTTCCCTTGCGTGGCTCCCTAAATTCAAACATCACCCACAGCCTCCACGTGTGCCTTGAAGCTTTAATTATTGATTGGGATGAGAAATTTCCCTGCCTTAAAAGGCAAGAAATGTGGTGCACAAGCAGCCAGAACCCTCTGGAATAGTCCTGGATCAAGGTACTATTTAAATAACTCAAACCAAAGGGTCTGTAATGCACCAGAGCTCCCCCAGTGTGCCTGACTGAAATATTGACATCCAAATGCTACAGAAACACTCAAAACACTGGATTCCATGCAAAACTGGGATCTAGAAGGAGGGATTCACACAGTTAAGTCAAAGTTATTAGAGAACAACATGTGAGACTTTTGTACAAGCTGGAGAACGACGAGAAAACACCACAACTCTCGGGAAACTTTAAATCAAAACTGCAATACCAGGGGCTGAGCCCCATAAATATCTCCTTCAAAATAGGTTTTGCTTTTTTTTCAAAGTGCAAAAATCCAACTAAACAGTCACCACTTCCCAACAGACGGCAGACAAGGCATTTTTTTTTGGAATGCATTTCACCTAAAGCAGTCTGGGTGTCAAGTGTTAATCAAAAGGAACGAGGCTGGACCACCCTCACCCTCCAGGATTTTGCCTGGATATCAAAATGGGACACGCAGGGATATTTGTAGGCTGAATACACCAAACTGGGACAATTCCAATCCCACTTCTCTCCCCATTCCAGAATAGCACATGCAGCTGCCACTTGTTGTTTAGGTGTTCATGGGTGTTTTAGGGTCACACAACTACCGGGTGGGGTAAGGTGCTAGAAGAGATCAACCCTCTGGGAAGAGCTTTCCTGGAGTCTGTGGAATACTCTCTGCCTGTGCTCTGGGGTGAAGCAATATCCTATGGCTTCCTCTGTCTCCTGGATCCGTTTCTGGAACCTGCATCCATCTCGTGCCATCTCCTCCCAGGGTCCTTTCCGATCCTCCTCGCTGCTTATGTAATACTCAGTCACTTTTTCAAGGAAGGTGACCTGGAAAAAGCAAGTTATTTAGTAAAGAGTTCACCACTCGTGCAAAAGGAACTTCATATTTGTACGTAGATTGGTTTTTTTTCTTTAACAGAAGTTATTAAACACTTTAAATAGCAGAAAGCCTCAGAAACCTGTTCAGAGAGTAGGTTTAGTGGGATACTGGGAAGGAATTCTTTCCTGTAAGGGGGATGAGGGGCTGGAATGGATTTCCCAGAGAAGCTGTGGCTGCCCCATCCCTGGAAGTGTCCAAGGCCAGGCTGGACAAGGCTTGGAGCAACCTGGGCTAGTGGAAGGTGTCCCTGCCCAGGACAGGGGGTGGCACTGGGTGATCTTTAAGATCCCTTCCCACCCAAACCAGGCCGTGATTCCCTGTTCCTGCCCCATCTCAGCTTTAAAATCAACCTCTCAGCTTTCAAATCAACCAGTTGCTCTCTTGCCTTGACCAAAACAGTGCTCAGCTACTACAGTTACTCAACTGCTGCCCAAGAGGCCCCTCGGAGCCAAGGACACGTCACCCGATGTCCCCTGTGTGGTGACACCCTCGTGACACGGGGCTGTCACCTCACCCAGGGCACACAGGTCACTCCAGGAATGTTAAAGTGCTCCAGGCCAACAGCCTGGATTGCTGGAGATTACACAAGAACGTTTAAAAAAAGGCAGAACCATTGTTGTGTGGAGTAAAGAGTGGTGTGAGTCACCACAGATAAGGAATCACACTCATCCCCCTGTGACTGCAACAACCCCCTGCTTCCAGCTGCTCTGCAATTCCAAGGTGTTGGATCACACAGGGAAATTAGCTCAAAAGTCACAGCACCTTAAAAGGCACGGGAAAACTTTCACTCTTGGCTATTTTTAAGAGATAATCAGCTATTTTAAGAAAATAAAGGGACTTACAGACTCGGGCTCTATACTTGGCAGTGTTTAAACTACGGCTGTAATAAGGATTTAAGTCCTTCTGAGCAAACCCAGCCTGTGTGAGGCTCCTGCTGAACTTTGTGCTGCTCTGCATTATGAAAAGGTGGAAAACTGAAGGATAAACCAGCTGTCAGCACCTCTCACATCGGAGCTAATTCTTGAGGACAAGCACACACTGTCACCACAGACAACTCCTGGAATCAGCAAAACACTTTGAAAGGTACAAAAAACCTGCTGCTCCATTGCTGGGATTTATTAACACAGACCCCTGATTTCACCCCCAGTCCATGATGACACAATGAGGAGTGTGGAGATTGCTGTGCTGCCATCTTCCAGCCTTCCCAGAAAACAGAGATACCAGCTATGGAATCCCAGACTGGTTTGGGTTGGGAGGGACCATAAAGCTCACCCCAGTTCCACCCTGCCCTGGGCAGGGACACCTTCCACTATCCCAGGTTGCTCCAAGTCCCGTCCAACCTGGCCTTGGACACCAAACAACCTCCAGAAACCATCTAATCCTGGTGCAGTGATCCCAAATTTCCCTGGGAGCAGGGCCATCGGATCCACGTGCCCTCACAGCGTGTCCCTGTCCTGCTCCCTCGTGAGGGAAACAAACCCTCCCAGGTTTTATGGCTTTCCAGACACAAATCCTGCACTGTGCCAGACAGGAACAGCCTCCAGCTGGAGGAATGACCTGGAGAATTCCTGGGAACATCTCAGCACTTGCTTGGCTTTCCTGGCCTTAATGAAGCACCTGCTTTAGGAGCTGTTACATCAGCCTTCCCACCTTACAGGGTTTTTACATCAGTCTGAGCCACCCTGGGGCACAACCTCCGGGGCTGTGACGTCAGGGGGAATATTGCAGCCACATCATCCTTCTTTCACCATGGCCTGGCATTGCAGAGCCAAGAATTCCTGCTGCTTCTGCACCCCTGGGACACAGCAAGCCCTGGGCAGGGCCCAGCACTGCTCCCTCACAGTGTTCTTAACCTAAATTAAGGGAGAAACCAAAGGTCTCTGCTGTAAAAGCACTAAAACAAGAATTATACAGGTTTTCTGTTTTGATGACTTGTTACCACGAGCCATTACTCATATAAATGTTTCAGGTATCAACACTCAGACATCACACCTGAAAAACCACCCTGAACCAGCACCACAAAACTGGGGAGAGGATGAATTGCTATTTACCTGCACCCTGGCACAGATATTACAGGGTTTTTAACACCCAAATTCTTCAAAAAACACATTATATTTCCACTTTGGTCTCAAAAGTCCAGTTCCTGAATATATCCCTGTTATAAACAACTGCTGAATTATAATATATAGAATACTCTCTCAAATGGAAATGGGAATATTACCACAATTTGTATGGAAACTTCAGTGGTGAACTGAAGCATGTGTTAACCATATGTCAGCTGCTAATATACATTAATGCCCCTCGACACGTGTGACACACCCAACCCACGTGTGACACATCCCACACGTGCTAAACGAGTTCTTCCTACTCCAGAACACGTAAGAAGCCTGCTCGGGTTACAAAAAAAAATCCTAAAATGTTTAAAACGCTTTCGGTTTAAGGTCCTAAATCACTTTATTAAAATTCCTCCCCACAGAAACTGGTGCTTTCCAGGAAAACACATCACAGCCCTGGAGTTTCTCGGGGAAAAACTGACACCACAGCGCTGGAGTTTCTCTGATGACGACACCACGTTACACCCCAGACTGAGAAGAGAAACCGCATCTTGAAAGGAAAATTGAACTTCAAATCTACAAAAGAAACTTTTCACGAAATTTCCCATCACGTGTCCAGGATGAGGCACAATATTCCAGGGAAATAATTAGCACGTGAGCTCACGGAGGCAGATCTGGAATGTCGGAATGACCTCACCCACTCCGTACTGCTCGGAGCAATGTGGGTTTGTTGTGAGGTTTTTTTTTTTAGCAGCCCCGTAACACACGAATATAAAGCAAAAATATACCTTTTTCCGCTTGGAATTCGCAGCTTTCTCGCCGGACAGAATTCCACGGTGCCCCAAGTCACCGAGCCCGCAGCTGCGTCTCTCCAGCTGTACCCGGCACACAGTGAAGTGCTCGGCAGGGACCGAACTCGGCGTCCCTTTTTTCTCTGCTGTCTGAAAGGCTGCCGTGAAATTTAGGGGGTTATATGGATCGTCCGAGGTACAGAACGAGTTCCAAAGTTTCAAGCTTTCTGCCTCATCCACGCTGCCACAGTCCCACTCGTCCTCCTCTTCAGAACTATGAGCAGAGCCTGAAGAGGACTCTGCCCACGAGTCGTCGTCTTCTTCTTCTTCTTCCTCCTCCTCCTCTTCCACATCCGACATGTCCCTTCCCGGATTGCTGGAAGATGTCTGAATGGTGGCTGTGAAGTTCTGAGGGTCGTAGGGATCCAAACTATAGAAGGAATTCCAGAGGTGAAGCCTCTCCCCGTCCTGGCTGCCGGCGTCTGAGTCCGAGGGAAGCTCTTCGCTGTCGAACCCGTCATCGTCATCATCATCACCATCATCATCCCAGTCCTCCTCACCCTCACTCTCCTCCCCGCTGAAAACTCCCCCGATGATATAATCGATTAATTTATTCGCACACGCAGGTCTGGTCGAAACCGGGAGGTTTTGCTCTGTGTCCGAGTCCTCACCATCCCCTTCAGGCAACGCTTCCTCCTCCTCCTCCTCCTCAGGCGCATCCCGGACCCCCTCCTGCTCCACGGGCTGTCTCCCTGGATCCTCGGGCTGCTCCAGCTGCCCGGCACCGCCCCGCTGGTCCCAGCGCCCCGCAGCTTCCCGGCGAACATCCCTGTGCTGCTGCTCCTCCTCCAGGCTGTGGTAGCCGTGGTCGGGGTCGGGCACGGGCAGGTGCCAGCGCTGGAGGAACGCCAGGCGCTTGCTGCGGAGGAACTCGACCTCGGGCACGGGCTCGGCCCGCAGCGGCTGCGGCAGGTGGCTCTTGCCCTGCTCCATGCCCAGCACGTACCAGTCCACGGCGAGGGCGCTCCGCACCAGCCCGGCCCCCCAAAGCCCCGCCGGGGGCTCCGCGCCGCCCTCCGCCCGCTTCTCCGGGGGCTCCTCGGCCCAGCCCGGCGCGGGCTCCGCCTGGGGCAGCAGCACCAGCGGCGGCGGAGCCTTGGCGGGGCAGAGCGCGGTGCTGAGCGCGGGGCCGGGCAGCAGCCGCTGCAGCAGCGCGGGCAGCGGCGACAGCAGCTGCGACAGCACCCGCAGCCACGAGAAGGGCGGGCTCGCCTGGGACGAGCCGCCGGCGGGAGCCGCGCTGGGCCCCGCCGGCTTCGGCCAGGCCGCGGCCAGGCCCAGCCGGGCCCAGCCGGCGCGTTCGCGTCCGCTGTGCTCCATGGGGCCGTTCAGCGCTGCCAGCGGTGCGGAGGGGTGTGCGAGGCGGCGCTCCGTGGTGGCGCGGCGGGTCTGAGGGCTCGGCGGGCGGCGGGCGGCTCCGGGTCGGGTCTGGGCTCCATCCTGATGCGGCTCCGGGCAGAAAATGGCGGCGCCGCCGCCTCGGCGCTTTCCGCCCACCGCGGAGGGGCGGGGCGGGGCGGGGCCGCCCCCGTGGCCACGCCCGCCTCGCGCCGCCGACGCCCATTGGGCGGTGTCGTTGCGAGCCCGCCCCCTCCCCCCGCGGCCACGCCCCTCCGGGATTGCATCAGCCGGCGGGCCCCGCGCGGCGGCGCCCCCGGTGGCGGAGCGCGGAACTGCAGCGGGGGCGCCCCGAGCGGCCCCTCCCCGCCCGCCGGGAATTCGGGGGGTCCTCGGGGGATCGGGGGGGCATTCCTGGGAAAGGAGCCCCACGGGCAGGCTCCCTGTGCTCCCTGGGGACGACACGTGCCCCCAGACCTTGCGGAGGGCAGAGGTGGGGATAGATGCGCGGGCAGAGGGGCAGGCAGATGTGCAGAGGTGCGGGTGGATTTGCAGGCAGATGTGCAGGCAGAAGTACAGGTAAATGTGCAGGCAGAGGTGCGGGCAGAAGAGCAGGTAGAGGTGCAGAGGTGCAGACAGATGTGTGGGCAGATAGGAAAGCAGGGTTCAGGTAAATTTGCAGGTAGATGTGCAGGCAGATGTGGATAGGTGCAGGCAGGTGTGAGGGCAAAGGTGCAGGCAGAGGTGCAGGCATCATCCACCTGTCACCCTGTGCCTTTCATCTCCTGTAACTTCCCACCATTGTTCCAGGCAGGAAGGTCCCAACACAGGAGGGTCCCAAGGCAGGCAGGTCCCAGCTCTCCCAGCCCCAGCAGCTCCCCCATCCCCCTCTGCTGGCAAAACCCCCCCTCGGCCCAACTGCCACCAGAACCAATATTTAAAACTTTTAATATAAAGGTTAAGTTCATTATTCTCGATCCTGAGAAACATTTCGTCCGTTTACGGAGCTGTCGCTGTAAACAAAGCACCACAGGCACCAAGCCCGCACCCGGGGCCGGGTGGCAGGCGAGGAGATGGATGTCCCCACAGCACAGGGACAGGGAGGTGGGCCGGCTGTCCCCTTCCCGTGGCATCGGGGAGGGCTCAGCCACACGGAACGGGCACTCCCGCCACACCGCTCTCCTTTGGGAGCGAATTCCCCGGGGTGGGAATTGCCCGGCTCCGAGCAGGCCGGGGCTGGACCCGGAGGGGATACACACCCCCTCCCCAGCCCACAGCAAAACCCCCGCACCACCTCCCTCTCTCCTCCGCCCCCAGTGCCCGGCTACTCGTTATTAAAAAAAAATTAAAATACAGATATCCCAAAGGAAGAAATAAGCCCCGAAACGCCCCCCACGTTCCTGCCCGCCCCTCCCGCCCCGCGTTGCTCCCTTGACACAAGGTAAACTTAAAAAAGGAGGCACCCGCGGCAGGACCCCTCGGGGACACCCCGGGGTGGGCAGCACCGCGGGGGCCGTGCCGGGGGGGGTCCCTCAGAGGGTGCCGTGGCCGCGGGACCCCAGGGCGAACCAGCCCATCTTCTCCTGCGCCAGGTCCAGGTCGCGCAGGCGGATGCCCACCTCCCCCAGCAGGATGTTCTCCCAGAAGCCCTCCTCGCTCAGCACGCTCAGCCGCAGCTCCCGCTGCTCCAGGTCCCCCCGGGGGATCCCGTCGTACACCAGCTGTGGGGCACAGAGGGGTGGGACCCTCAGCCACAGCCCCCTTGGGCCCCCCAGCCTCGGCCCCACCCAACCTACCATCTCGTTGTAGGTGGGGTTGCAGGTTTTTCGGGCCACTTTGGTTTTCCTCTTGGTTGTTTTCTGGGGGTCGGGCAGCAGGTAGGTCTTGACATAGGGGTCGGGGTCGTTGCCGTCCTGCAAGGGGGGCTGTGGGCAGAGCGGGGGGGGCCCCGTGAGCGCAGCGGGGGGGAGGGACCCCCACCCTGCTCCCACCCCACACCGGGCACCTACCAGCCCCCGGATGTGCATCACCATGATGAAGAGCTTGTTGTTCTTGTAGGAGATGGAGAGTTTCACCTCCCCGCCGACCTTCCCCAGGGAACGAGCCCACGTGGCATCTGGAGAGGAGGAGAGCAGGGGTGGGGTGGGATGGCAGCCCCCCACCATCACCCCCGGCCATTGCCCTCCACCGTTGTCCCCCCTCCTCCCTACCTGCCGGCTTTGGCGTCGGGTTGGTGCCAGCTGCCTTCTCGTCCCGGGGCAGAGGGTGGAAGAAGGTGTAGATGAGGTCACACTGCCGGGGAGGAGGTGACATTAGCGGTGGCAGCGGCGTCTCCGCCCTTCAGGGCACGGGACACACACCAACATTTTACACGGCGCACTGTCCCACCTTGCCGGTGTCCCTGGCACTGCCCCCACCTCCCCGCAGCCCCCTGCCCCCGCTGCCCACCTCTGCCACCTCGGGGGCCGCGTGGATCAGGTGCCAGATGTAGCCGTTCAGCTCCTCCTTGCGCCGCTCGGCCACCGCCTCGCCCCGCGAGCGCCCGATGACGAACCTACTGGGGAAGCTGCAGGGACGGACCCTCAGCCGAGCCCGGGGGGCTGTGGGGAGCTCCAAGGGGCTGGGGGGAGCCCTGGGGGTCTGTGGGGCTGCGGGGGTACCTGGGCAGCAGCGAGGAGGGGAAGAGGAGGCGCAGCTTGTTGTGCAGCTCCTGGAACTCCTCGAAGGTGCGCTGCACAAAGGTCACCTCGCCTGGGCTCTCCCGCTGCACCTTCACCACGTAGGTCTGCGGGGAGACAGGGCTGTGAGGTGGGACCCCGGGGCGCCCCGAGTGCACCCTTTCAGCTGTCCCCGGCCGTCCCCACTCACGTAGCCCTTGCTGGGGTTGAAGACCCTCTCGTGGCGGCACAGGAAGACGTCGCGGATCCGGCCGGACGTCTTGAGGGTGTGCGTGCGGGGGGCGAAGGAGAGCGTGGGCCGGGCGTCCGAGCCCGTGAACTTCATCTGCGCCAGGTTGTGGATGAAGAAGTTGAGCTTGGTGGCCACGCTGCCCAGGCTGGACTCGATCAACCTGCCAACGAGGCCACGGTGTGCTCAGCACGGAGCCGGTGCCGCTGCCCCTCCGCCCGCTCCTGCCCCTTCGCCCACCCCTGTCCTCTACCTGGTGAAGTAGGTGGTGGCATCGGCATCAGAGTCCTGTGGCCTCAAGGCATCGTAGACGTACTTGAGGTCCTCCAGGTCGGAGAGCTCGGGGATGCCACAGGACAGCATCTGGGAGGCGAGGCAGGGGTGAGGGCAGGCGGCAGGGGCACCCCTGGGAAGGGGGGAAGATGCGGCCCCCCCTCGGCTCTCACCAGCCCCAGCAGGTTGAGGAAGAGGTGGGTGTGCTTGCGGATCAGGTTGTAGGCCTGGCAGCACAGGTCCACGAAGTCGTGGAAGCGGCTGGAGGGCTTGTCCCCGCCGTTGATGACATAGGCCATGTCCGAGGTGAAGACAAACGGCGCCCGGTCCCTGCGCCGGGGGAGAGGGGGGACAGAAAGTGAGCACAGACGGGGATCCCACACCACTGGGGTGAGGAGAGAGGAGCTCACCCACCACCAGGACAAAGAGAGGGGAATTCACCCACCACCAGGACGAGGAGAGGGGGATTCACCCACCAACCACCCCCCTCCGGGCAGAGGGGGAGGCACCCGAGGCTTTTCTCACCTCTTGATGTTGCCGAACATCTGCGCGTGGCCCAGGAACCTGCCGAAGTCGATGTGGAACATGTGGCCCGTGGTCTTGAGCATGATGTTGTCATTGTGCCTGTCGCAGATCCCCAGCACGTAGGTGGCCACGCAGCAGCCGGCGCAGGAGTAGATGAAGTTTTCCACGGCCTGGGAGGGAGGGAAGGAGAAATCAAGTGTGGAGAAAACCTGGATGCGATGGGAAGGGAAGGGGTCTCATCCCTGGAGGGGAGGGACATAAGCAGGGACGCTGCCAGGCTCTTCCTCACCTTCTCATACTCGTCCTCCTCGGGGTTGTGTTTCTGCAGCCAGTCTGCCAGCGGCCGGTCCTTGAAGGAGCCCGTCACGCCGTGCTCCACCTGGATTTTGCGCAGGGTCTCGGCGTTGGGGATCATCTCCACCATGCCTGGCGGCCGGGACACAGGGTGAGACCCTTCCGACCCACCCAGGGGGCACTGAGACCCCAGCCCCACCCTGCCACCGACCCAGGCACCCCCCAGCCATCACCCCTGAGTGACAGCCCGCAAAGCCACGCTCCTACGTGGGCTGGTGGGGTCAGACCAAAGGTGGATCACAGGTCCCCACGGGGCCTCCTGTGCCATCACCAGTGCCCCACAGGATGCCCTGACCCCAGCTCACCTCGCCCACGGCCCGTGGAGAAGCAGCGGAAGATGACCATGCGCATGTCCAGCCCCTCCTGCACCCAGATCTTGTTCATGATCCGGATCATCTGCAGCGTCAGCATGTCCTGCCGCAGGTCATCGCCGCACTGCGGGCAGGGGAGAGCCACCAGGGACAGGGGAGAGACATCAGAGACAGGGGAGAGACATCAGGGGCAGTGGGAGAGACATCAGGGACAGGGGAGAGCCATCAGGGACAGGGGAGAGACATCAGGGACAGGGGAGAGCCACCAGAGACAGGGAGAGGGATATCAGAGTCAGGGAGAGGGACATCAGAGCCAGGGGGCAGTGGGGGATGAGGGTCAGGGGATTGGGGTAGTCGTGCCAGGGGTCTGGGCATGGCCAAATGTGCCAGGCTCACCTTGAAGATGACTCGGATGTTTTCCCCCAGGGGATCCACGTTCTGGAAGGAGAGCTTGAGCGGGACAGCGTTGGAGTTGAAGTAGGAGCAGTCCTGCCACGGGAGGAAGGCACAGCCCGTCAGGGCGAGCTGGGAGCAGGCACAGGAGCCCCCCCTGGTGCCCCCCGGGTCTGGCACTCACCCGGGGCACGATGCCCTTCACCAGCAGGCTGGGGCTGAGTGGCAGCCGGCACGAGCCGTGAGCCTTGAAGAACTGCTTCACGTCCTCCAGCCCCTCGCGGAGGATGCCCTGTGGGGCGGGCACGGGGCGGGGGTGGGCATGGGATGGGGTGGGATAAGGGGCAG